ACCACCCGCCCAGTCACCAGAACCAGCACAGCGGCATCCCGGTGGGGATCTCTCTCCATTTCTCCCTCATCCTTGAAAGTTATACTCTTACCCCCCCACATCTCCTCAATGTCTTCTATGGCCCGAAATGTTAAAAAAAAAAAGTAGGAGGCCTACAAGCCCATCTCCATTGTGCCACCCAAACAGGCTCCCACGCCAAGCGCACCCACCCTCAGGGAGGGCCCCGGCACCCCGAGGGCGTGCGGGGGAGGAAGGGCGGAGCCCGGTGCTCACCGGGTGCATATTGATCAGCCAGCCCGTCTTCTCCCCTGGCTCCTTGAGCCTCTCAAATCCGAACCGAGAATCCATCTTATCCGTCCACTGACTGCGCTCCAGGCGCTTGAGCGCCGATACAGAGGAAGAGGCGCCATCGTCCCTGAGCGGGAGGGAGGACGGACCAACACTGCAGGCGGGCACAGGCGTGGCCACAGGGGAGGTTTGGGGGGCGAGGCGGGGGTGTGCTGTGGCTGTAAAGGGGAAGCAGGCGGGATCCCTGGGGCAGAACTGCTCTGTTTTGATTGCGATGGAGCCACCAACACATGGTGTGATTGACAGCGCACAGCCAACGCGCGCACACACACACACACACACACGCACGCGCGCGCGATGCACTGGCCGCCACACCCGCTCTAGCGATGCCAGATGTTACCAATCCGGGGAATGATCTCAGTAAGAAGTTGTTTAAACTTATTTCTGAGATGTTAGTCCCCAAGTTTGTTGTTAGTTTGTTTCTTGGCAAAATGGGATCGGCACTAGCTACTCTAGGAAACTTTTCCATGGGTTTTATCGAGAGAAAACTGCAAAGCGGCAGCACGGTATAGCGGGATGGACTGGGTTCTGCTTGTGCCCGGACAAGCGGGCAGGGTGAGCCCCGGGCGCCGGGTCGCGGACAGGGCTCCTGGTGGGCAGCCGGGGACCTGAGCAAAGTGGACATTAGCAAGCGCTCCGGCGAGGCGCCTACTGC